CGGAAGTGCAAAGTTGTCCCGGAGACTGTTATTATATTAAGGTCTTACCAGCAACGATGAGCCATATCTTATATCCACACTTTGTTTTAATTATCCCAACGGGGACAATCGTCGTGCCCAGGGTGGGGTGGACTTTTGAACGCAATTTCTATGAGATCGTTTGACAAAAACCTTACCTCGTAGGAATCTTTCCCATCATATGAAATTGACAATATTGTATCGCCATTTTGAATCGACCAATTTTACGTTGAAATTCTCCTTCGCCATGATCGTTCAAATTTAAAGTATTTCTTAAAATACTTATCATAAATAAGACAAAAATCTAGATATAGATTTGGTTGCTCGCAGTTACTTCGATCATGTGTATTTGACCATATTGTACTGAAGTTTTGAATTGACAATTTTTACGGGAGTTATGGAACTTTGACCGGTTTTTTTTATCTTGTATTATAATAACAATAACGGTACCAATGTTACTGCACCAGATGGGCATTTCAACAATAAATGTCTGAAATCTAAATTAATTTCCATAATTTTGTAACAGGATATTCGTAACATAGAATTAATGTTTGCCATCATGTGCAGCCAATTATGATGTACCGTCATTTTGCTTTTGCTATTTTTACTGGTTTTACGGCGTTCCAATCTTCTTATATACTTATTTGTATACCTTTTATAGACATAATAAAACACGAGTTTCAGTGTTTTAACAAATATATAATTTACGTTATTCAAAGGGTCAAAAGTAAAACCAAATAATTTCCATGATACCTGTATCTTAAATAAAAGAAACACAAGGGGAAAACTTAACCCTTAACACAGTGCATTGATATCGACTGATGTTTTTCCCCTATGGGTAGATTGCATAAGCCAGATTTGGCACAACTTCCTAGCATTTTTTGTTTTCAATGCTCTTCAACGTCGTTTTTGATTTGGCTGTTCAAGTGTTTAGATTCGCGATCTTCACCGATTAGTCTTGTGTAGAGGAAACGTGTGACTTACGTTGCACATTATACGCTTTAATTGTTAGTAGAAAGAAATTTTTTAATTTTATATTAAATAGATATTTATGAAAATGAAAAATGCAACCAATTGATACTATTTTCATACGCTATTGTGCAATGTAAAGTTGGTGTTATTTGTTTTATAGAATCTCCGGTAATTCAAGGGAACAAGGGGAACCATGATTTTTATCAAAATATCTGAAATATACTTTAAGTTATCCATATGCCACATTGTACTCATTGCGATGCATGTAGGTGATTCATGGGAAAACAAACATAGTTGATCAAAAGCTAGCAGAACTTTTCAAATTTCAAAAAATCTTATTGTCATATTTTACCTTCTTATTTTCTCATAAACTTTTCTTAAAAATTTCCCTGATATTTTGTGAGAATTATAGAACATAATAATGCAGCCAAAATTTATGACTCATTACTGTTATAACATACATCTGTCAGGTATAGGTGTTATCCAAAATTTCAATAAATGCCATGAAGTATAATCGTTATATCCGTATTTTAAATTACTTCTAAGAAACGTTTAAAATCATATAATCTACCCCCACGCAATTTCTATAGTTTACTATGCACTTTTAAAAAGGTAATTTAAATAGACCGTTTTCATTTGAATGGAACATGAATAATCTGTTTTAAACATACGGTATTATTACACGGAAAGGAATGTTTATTGTGACGTAATAGTTTAAATGAATATTTCCCGTCACGAATGCTTTTACGTAGAAAATCGCTTAAGGTCCTGTTGACTTTTGCCGACAATGTATTGTATATAATGTCAGTGGGAGTAAATATAATACATGACATCTATTTTCAACAGTTTAAAATGTAAAGAAATTTTTAATTAGCTAAATCAATCCCAAAAAAACAATGGTTTAAAAATTCAAAAGCAAAATAGATCATAAATCCGTCTATGTACATGAGATTTTATTGAGATGAGTAATACCCGAGATCACAAAAACGATAGTTTTTTTATTATCGATATTTTCTCAAATTTTCCATGATCTTTCTGTGTAATAATTTTCAATCTTACTATACATGAGCGAGATGGACTCTTCTCATCCGTGTAGTGCAAATGAATATTTACCGATTTTTTTAAAAATCTTTTGAGCATTCAAATTCATTTGATATACAGCGGAGACAGATTACGATTGGATTTAAAAGATCCACAATCAACCACGGTTATGTGATAAAATTTGCTTCAATTATTGAAAACCGATGGTGGCAGCGCAGATAAATGCCCCACTAGCGAGTTATCACATTATTGACAAACTGAGTCGGTATCTTCCATTTCCTTGAGAACTCAGTAGCGATAGCTAGGAATGTGCTAATTTCTCGCAGATTTAGGCAGTATCTGTTGTTATTGCAAAACATGTCGCTAGTAAGTTGAGACACTGACAAGTCGTATCAGTCAACCAGTTTGTGATGCTGACCTTAAAATTTATGCAGTGTCGATGTCAGTCGTTCGTCCTCATAACTCAGTTTATGTGTTAGGAGCACACCCATGTTAATGAGTTCCGAAAAGTGTGAACATGCACGAGCGTAACTTATTGACTGAGATATGTAAACGCCATATACGATTGAGAAGACGGTATGTTACTTCTGAGAAATTGGACGCTGACAAGTGGAAGTTGGAATCATCACGTTTGTCATAGATTAGTTTTGAGGTCATCCATCTGTGTCAATATGGAGGACAAAAATCAAGATATGAAGCAGACTTTTGGTAGTATCCATAATCTCAAGTTCATTATGATATATGAGATGAAAGCACTCATTGAAATGTGGGTTATTGTTGGACACAACTGCATCAATATATCTGAAATTGAAATAAAAAATAGAGCAAACGAAAATATAACCATGCATCCGGTATATGACAGAAAGAACAGCAGTTTGACAATACTTTGGTATTAATCATTAATGGTAATAAAAAAGGAAGAAAACAATCTAAATGAATTCGGCAACTGTGTTTATCACCACCAACCTCATTTTACTGTATTCTTGATTTTTCTTTTATCTTTGGTTTTTTTTTCTTTATTCGTTTGCAGTTTAATATGATAGCCGAATATTGACGTCATAATACCGATGTCAGCTGAGGTGTCAAAAGTAAACAGACAAAAAGGGGAGTGATAACACCGGAATGTTGCATGCTCTTCAATCGTAATAAGACTGTTTTCACTTCTGTTCGTAGAATTGAAAAGTAGAAAAGCTATTTAGTTTTCGTTTTGAAGAAATAATCCGTCTTATCTATTAACCTTCCTTAACCTCAAACCTTGATCTTACATGATAGTTCACTTTGTGATTTGGGTTGAAGAAACGAAAATATCAATGCGGTTCGAAAATGATAAAACTCAGAGGAAAAATGTTCGTCCACAGATATGAATAGAGGTAGATGCGGGATAAGGTCAACGAGACAGAAACCCAACGACAAAGATAACCAAATTACATCTATCGGACAACATGCAGTAAACAAAAAACAGGTGTCTAAACAATATATATGTTGAAGCTGTAAATCGCTATGAGTCTTTTAAAGTCGAAAATAAATAAATCAGGTATAAACAAAATTTTTCACTTACAGTTTTGCAGTCACAGTTTACAACTCTGTAAATTAGAGAGTTCACTGTTGTAATGCGGGTTATATATATTTATATATTTGAGAAAAAATTTCTTTTTCACTCGAAATATTTGCACAAATTTCAAACTAAGTAACTTTCATATAAACGATCAGCTATAGCACTGGGAGTTCAACATATTGTATGATTGTTCTGCTGTCCTGCTATAGCAAGAGAGGTAAAGGTCAGTGTTTTATCAAATCAGATAAACACAGGTACAAAAATGATTAAATTGCAACGAGAATGAATTCATGCATACAACATTGATATGCTTGTGGATTATGTAAACATTTTTTTTTTAATTTATATTGGTATGTCAATTCTATACAAATTCAAATTTTACAAAAAAAAAATTCCAAGAAAAAATATATTGTTGTTTTTTTTGTGTGTTCTCATCTAAGTATTCACTATATCGTACATAATTTACATATCTGTATCATGTTGCTTTTAAGTTGGAGTCTATGCGATATTACATGTAGGTTTTAGTATTTTCCATGGTTTTCGTCTCTTTTGTCTATAACAAGAAATATGCAGCGAAGTGTTTCAATTTCAAAAAAGGGAATACTTTGGTTCTCAAACTCGAAATGGGCCAAACTTTGATTGCAGAAGGACTTAGAAATTTTATTGAGCTCGGAAAGATTGAGTTTTCTTTTGTGGTGAGCTGCCCACGTATGCATTCAAACAAGATCCGGCCAATTTATTTAATAGTTGCAATACAGTTTCGAATGTGTTTTGACAAAAAAATTCCCAACGATTCCTAGATGAAAACAAATGTTGAAAAGTAGGTTAATATATAGTCATCTATTTTTATTGAAGATGCAACTGAATTATAACACACAAAGGGTGTATATCATATTCCTAATTATTTGTAAAATTATTCAATCAAACGAGACCAAGTTATTTGGCATATCCGGATACTAATTAGTAAGAATTATAATAGACATTGACAGTTCCGTTTACGATTTCTGAATGTCTCATTGATTTCATTCATATAATCTAACTTCCAATAAATGTTTTTTTTGGCTGATTAAAATCGCTATATATTACAAATAACTTATTATTGGGGTTTTTATTCTTTTTCTCAATATCGTCACGATTCAAGGTTTTATTGTCCTGCAAAACAACAACAAGATATACATCAAAGGTTCATTCCCTCTATTCCCACTTTTTATAAATCTGGTAAGAAAAGTTAATATTTCATGTGGGAATAGAGGGAAAACTTGTGCAAACAAAGGATTATACTGTACAAACATTTTTTAATCAACTGTTAATTGACCAGTGTTTTTTTTATTAGGACAGGTAATAAGTTATTTTTGCATTTGTATGAATTCTGTTTTTTTTTAAACAAAATAAATATGAAAGAAATTAAAACAAATATAAGTAAACTATTTTATTTCTTTTATAACACAAATTGAACTGTAGATTCAAGCAAGCATAATATAACACAAATTATACAACAGCACGTACTAGATCAAATCACACATTGTAGCACATACATTAGACAATCATTGTATACAAGTCTATTAAAGTTTATCAATCTATTCCACGTGAAGAAGGTGGGAGGCTGCATCACCAAACTCTACTGTTGTGACTTCCTGGTTGCGGTGTCTAACCTTAAGTTCGTCTAATCTGTTGTTGATTTCTACATACTTCTTTTTTGGTGCCACTCTCTTCCCACCGGCTGCATACTGGATCATGGTCAGGGCGTTGAAGGCTTCCTCATGTTTCAGAAGTTTAATTAGTTCAAAGATGTTTGGATGTGGATGCGTGACATGTTTCTTCAGCTTGCTGTGCCATCCCTCTAGATGATTTGTTGTCCTCGGTCCTTGTGTTAAGTAATGGTTCCAAAGGTGACTGTTCTGTTCAACCCAGTATGTTGTTACATAGTCTGTAAAGGGTGTGTAGTTGATGTTGGTATCAATCTGATCTATGTCTGTTAGGGCATTAAACCACACATCTTCAACCTCAGCAATGGGTATAAGTGGAAGTACAGCGGCACGGCGTACTAGTTGATGAATATTGTTGTCATCCTTGTATGGAACCTGAAGACCTGTTTCTTGTGCTTTTCTCCAGATGCATTGCGTGTAGTGGAAGAAACAGCCTTTTGCGTTGATGCCAGGAAATACAGAGTATGCTGCATTTCGGATGGCGACTTCATAGTCCAGGAAGATAGTAGTAGGCTGAAGTTGTAGTTGGTGTTGGTGGCAGAGATCTTTAAGTAAAGTCAGGAACCTTGTATATACTAGTTCACTCTTGGCTGGAAGTAAACTGTGTACGAGTGGATACATTGCTCCGTCAACCATTGCGTGAAAAGTGTACAGTTGGAAGAATAGGCTCGGACAGGTGTAAAATGTACCATCACCATATATGATATCTGCAGCTGATAAGTGTGTTAGATTCTTTTGCGTACTGAAGATTAGCATACGCCCTACTGTGTTGTCGTCTGTTAGCAGGCATGGATCGCCTTTGGTTGTACGTGTCCAAATACCATCTATGTTGATTTGATCAACAGTTTTTGGTAAAACTGGAAGGTTCTTCTTGCGTTTGTTGTACATTGTGTTCTTGCAAGATGGAAAAGTTGGAATGTTCTCTACAAGTTCTTGTGTGTCGTCGTTCCAGTCGTCGTTTCTGAGTTTAACCAATTCTTCCTCGTAGATGGTTGGAATTGGTGTCAGCTCATTTGTGCAGCGAACTTTCATTCTCTGGATGACATCGTCTACTTTCAGCTGCATGTGGTCAGACCCATGGTTGTGGTTTGCTAAGACTTTGGTTGGTATGTTGTTCAAAGTATTGATGGTGGCAGGACAGTTTGCAGTTGAACACTTCCAGTAAGTTCTTATGCCCCTTTTGTTCTTTGCCTGGAACTTAAACCCACTGTGTACAAGGTTTTGGTTCCCGAGTCTGTTTGTAACAAACTTTACTTGTAGTTGTGCATTAGCCATTGTAACTGAATAATGACATGACTGGAGAAGGATCACAATTTATATCAATTTTTAAGCTTGGAGCTCATAGAGCTTGGGGTTGGTAACTGAGTAAGTATTTGTCAGCTAAGTTCTTAGCTTGCAAAAATTATTCTGATTTTTTTCAGCTTGGATAACTCAGTCAATTAAAAATGATTGCTCATGCTTTGAAGTAAAGTTAACAGTTTTCACCCATTATTTTACATCTTTGATTATTGGTCCAAGTGATTATATTTTTAGAGTATACTTTTATTCCACATCTTAAGATTATACTTGGTTATAATATTATTTATATCATGATTTATTTGTACAGCAGACAATTCTTTAAGGTTACAAATTCAAAAATTTTAAAATAACTCCAATCTATTTATCATAATTATTCTTTATTTTTAAATATTTCTTTGACGCAGTCATGAAAATTTCGTTTTTCATTATTTTAAAATGTACTTGTATCCTCCATTTGAAATGTTGGAACAACTAGAATAAGAATGTCAACGAAAAAAGAAATAAACAAGGTATAATACCTAAACAGTGTACCAAATATGTAATATTTAAAAAAAAATACAGGTAAATCTCAGGTGAAATTCTAATTAACCTTGATTGTTATAAAAACAAATTATTTATCAAAACATCTATTGTTATTTGCATGTGGGAATAGAAGGAATAGTATTTTTAAAAAGTGGGAATAGGAGGAAGACACCACATCAAAATAGTAAAATTTTCATTTTGTTTGTGGGGTTTCTGCGGGGGGACTTAAATCTTGTTTGACTCACACTCACAATCAGTGGTAAAAAGAAAATTTAAACAACAACATGAACAACAACAATGTCGAAAGGGGCCTTATGAATCGTTAAAACCTGTTGCCGGATGAAACTGACTGAGAGCTGAAATTTTTTGGATCTTACTTAACTATTTACTTTCTTACATATTGTAATTATTAAAATTTTGAAATACAACTTCACTTTTTTTAAATACGTATAGGTACATATAAATGTATAAACGCTTTAAATTTAGTCTGTGTACTTTTATGCACAATACTGAAACCAGTAGGTATTTAAATGTGTATTGAAAAGTTTTTTCACAAATATATCTTCTGCAAAAAGAAAAGATTTTCTACCTGGAGAAATGTTTACAATGACTTAAATATGAGACAAGGTCATTTAAAATTGTTTTTCTCTTTTTGTCATATTATACACATATGACTATACACAAGTGACTGTCTGTATGAATATGGCAAATATAATATCGATCTGGTTTCATGCTGAAAATAACGTTCCTTTTAAATATTAACATATATCAAATATCATTTAACCTGAGAAAAATATCAGGTCATGACACAAATTGGATTGAAAATAACTCATGATGATGGATAAGAATTCATGACAAAACATCGCTACACGCACTATGAAATAATACAGCGATTGTATTACTGTTTTATTTCTCCAAGTCAAGACGAACCCTTTAATACAGACTTACTAAACAATTATAGGTTACCGTACGGCCTTCTACAATGAGCAAAGCCTATACCGCATAGTCAGCTTTTCTTTAAAAGGCCCGGCATGATTAAATGTGAAACAATTCAAACGAGAAAAAAAAAACCAATGGCCTGATTTTTGACAAAACAATAAACGAAAAAAATATGACGGATAGCAACCAACGTCAACCGCAAATTTTTAGGCTCCTGATTTGGGACAGAATTTTTTTTAATTGTAGCGGAATTAAACATGCATGTAAGCGCTAAACACTTCCCTTTACCTGGGACATTGCTGTAACAGCACAACATAAAAACAAACTGTTAATATCAGTTGGAAATGGCTTTAGTCAACAGATTGTCGCGAATCACAAAAACAACTAACGTAAAAACAAAAGACACAAAGTACAGATATAAAAGCACTGTTTTTATTAATAAATTTCTCAATATTTTTGTAGCATTAAAATGGTACATATTCTAGAGTACCAGACGTGGGCATTACGAAAAGTGATGTTTCTTCAATAAATGTATGGTCATCCCGAAAAGGATTTCATTTTTCAATTTTTCAGAAAAAAAAGTATCAGACTATACTCTGTCAAATTAATTTTCAGAACAAACTTTAATCATTACATATTTTATCAAGATATATTGTATAATATATTGATTCTTTTCCTAAGTATGGATGAAATATTTGCCAATAAGCATAAAGCAAACTAAAATTGATCTAGTTTACATATAGGCAAAGAGTATAAACATTAACATAATTTTAAACATTTAAAACCAAGAATACATGTCCATAACAAATAATAAAAACAAAAAAAATCAAGACATTGAAAAATCAAAAGAAAAATCCCAAAATGTATAACTAACTTGCCTAGCTCTGCTTACAACATTTCAAAGGTTAAGCGACAATGATTCATAGCTATCAATGAGTCAAATCCGGCTTGGAATGGGAAATACTCGGAAAACATATCAGGATTAAACCGGCAATGGCGGCGAAAAACATTCCTGCAACAGTTACGCTCACTTAGCTTAAATTCCAATAACAACACAATTAGTTACTCATACTTAGTTTAATCAAAAATTCAGTATCCTTATACATTTTGGATTTTCAAACGTTTCCTCCTTAAACTTCTTGGGTGTTAAGATTTTATTTTGATAAAACATTTCAATAAGTTATGAATAAAAATTAAGTTATCAACGTGTGTGCTATTAAGCGTGCAAACCTTACCTGAAGAATATATACATTGTATTTCCTGTTATGTTTATTATCATTTATATTGCTAAGGAAAATCTTATATAGCAGATTTTCTTCGCAAATGTAAAGCCCCGAGGAAACTTCGAGTTTATATATAGGAAAAAAATCTCTGGCTAAGTACTCCCCCCACCCCCACCCCCCTCCGAAATCAAAACCATACTCCCATAGAGCGTCAATGGTTTGCAGGGTGTATGCAACCCGAGTTTGGAGAATGCAGCACACCCAGCACATATAATATCTCTCTTAAAAACATTCGTCCAGAAAATTAAATTCGATGTCTCGCATCCACACTCTCTGCACTTTAAAGAACTCTTGCAACAACTCGTTAATGGGTACGTAGATTACCTGTTAAAGTGCAAATATTTTGCCCTATCTAACTTACCCTCATTTTCCAGTGTCAGTGTAAATGTACCTCCCTCCATTCCGGCCGACCTACCTTGCCGAAGCTACCTTTTTTATTATTTTTTTATTTGCGTTAGTCCTTCATATGCATATTTTACAATTTACTGGCACATATATGTTTTGTAAAATCACTATGCTATATCCAGAGACATTCCACATATCTGCCCTTTACCGAATAAGAATTAATAGACTTTTTTTTTAAAATGACCCTGGTGTGAAATGAATTCAAGGAATTACAGTTTATATTTTGTAGGTGACCTAAAGAGAAACACATATAATGGATAAAATTAATACCTGCTGGGATATTATTTGTGGCTGAAATTCAACTAAGATATGCAACGGTGAATTCTTTTAACGACATTATCATTTTAACAGAGTCTATGTGTAAGATTTTGCAGATTTACCATACCATCGTAAATTCCAGAATTTTGCTCTTTAGTAAACTGTTAATCCTATACGCATTACGCACGTAAGAAGTATTTATAATGGTGAATACTGTTTTTGGAATGTGACGAAGTAATCATCTTAAGGACAAGATGAATGAAGATGGACAATAACAAAATAACTCTATATTCCTAAAAAAAGAACGAAGGAGCGTAAATACTTAACTTTACATGTGTCTTTTAATTCAAATGAAAGAATTCGAATGTGTGTCCTTATTGGCATGTTTGGTTCATTAAAAAAAGTCATAAATATATATAAAACGTCTAGATATTAGTCAACGATCTTTCTAACGAGGGCACACTATGTCTCTTCAGAGATGCTCGCGGCCAAAATATTTGAAAATCCAAAACCTTCTATAAAGTTCTTTTTACTAAAACTCGTTGCAGTATAAAAAGATTTCTAAACAAGTAATTTGTTAGATATTTTCATGCTGTAAATTTTTCGTTCTAGAAAATTTTCAATAACACATGTATATTTTTGACAGTTTAGTAATTATAGTGTAGCACATATAAATCACACTTTAATACTGAACTGTGCATATAAAAAGAGAGGGAATAGCTATACTATCAAACGGGCAATCGAAAATCATATGTCAAAAAAAAAATAATGCCAGGGCCAAAAAATAAAAACGTCGAAAAGATCAACAAAAATAACAAAACATTACACAGAAAACAAATGCTTTAGAATCATGAACCCATGGCCGTTTAAAAAGCTGGGGGACGGGGGGAGTTGGTGTCTCAGGTGCATTTGTAGATTTCATCGATCTTATATGTTCATCCGTTTTCAATATTCATAGCTTAATATTATGAGAAAATATAAAGAGTCCATTGTGTATTTAAATTGAACATGTTTAATATCAGCCTATGTGTTATCAAAGTTTTTAAAAGGTTTGGCCTGGAGCATCACCGAAGAGCTATTAACTGTAGAAATGCGCATCAGGTGCGGTATAGTTGGTAATGTTGATGTAATAACTACCACTGAGTCGATACCTCTGCTGGTGGACTTTTAATCACTGAGGGTAACACCAGTTCAGTAGCCAGTATTTTGGTACTGGCATCAAAACACGGATATTGTTTTATTACAACTTTTAAAATTTGGAAGTAATTTTACATTAAAGAATGTACCCTCCTCAAGCATAGCTCTGATTCCTTGCCCGGATTTGGCTATACTTTGGTTACTTTTGTTTAATCAGATCATCAACTTTTGTATAAGATTTTGGATTTTCAAAATATTTGACCTCGAGTATCACTGAAGAGATATAAATTGTCGAAATGCGCATCTGGTGCAGTACATTGGTACCGATATGAGCCGGAAATATATAACCTTCATCGTATCCACTTGTTTCTAGAATATTTATACTTAATTGTCCATTGCCAAGGTAGCAAAAAATATCACCAGCTTTGATACAAATGTATCGACTTGGAACATATTTGGATTTAAGATACTCGGGAGAAGAAAGCTAAGAGGAAGGGGACTTTCACCGATTCCAAACCCTTAAAGGTGAAGCCAAACTAATTTTTCTGAAAGACTCATGAAAAATATTCTACGTGTTGGACACCTAGAACTATCCTAACACGTAATAAGAACGACGAATAGCTTAGCCTCCCCCAAAAAAATAATAATCAAAATAAAACAAACAAACAAAATAAAACAAAGGGTCAGTGTGAATCTATGAATGACGTAGACCACATTTTTAATTTCTATTAAAGAGGACATAAAATTCTTTACTTATGATGCTATGGGTTGTCCGATGCTTTTTTTGTGGTAATCTGTCGTCAATACTCTATATGATTCTATATCGAAATTTAAAGATATATCAAACTTAAGTT